CTCTCCCTCAGTTCTTGGTTGCATAAAGCATCACTAGAATTAGCGGGTAAATAGTTTGGGCCGCATGGGTAGGAGTAGTAAATAGTTTGGGCCTGGACATTAAAGGGTAAATAGTTTGGAATTAATGGGTATAAAATGAGATTTTTCTTAAGAACTTTACGTTGGGTTGAAATAATAGAACGATGGTGTGAATATTTATTTTAATGTGTAATTCGCTAGCCAAGGTTTTGTAGTTAATCACTCCATACCAAATCGTGCATCTCTTCCAATGGTTTCTTATCCATGATCTTTAGTATTTCGCCACAATCCCAAACTTAGTAAAATAATTACATACAATAGCATGCTTTAGGTGTGAGTTAATCTATCATCGTGATTGCGTACATGTTCGCGTGACATAGTTACGATTCTTTTAAAATAAAAATCAAGGTATGCGTTCGCACAACTTTGGCCAAGCTTTTTCCTAAATAACTAAGTGTTAGGAATTGTGGACACGTACGCGTGACATGATTCTTAACGCACTGAACCGAATGAGTACACGTACGCGTGACTCGTTTTAAGATAATTCCAAATTCACGATTAATTAAGCAATTAAAAGCGGTTAAGGGGGTAGATGCACATAGGTTTAAAAATAAGTATTAGACAATTTAATAAGCCAGGTATGATTAAAGCGACAGTGCTAAAACCACGGAACTCAGGAATGCCTAACACCTTCTCCCGGGTTAACAGAATTCCTTACCCGGATTTTTGTGTTTCGCGGACTGTAAAATAGAATCAAACTTCCTCGATTCGGGATTTTAAACCGGTGACTTGGGACACCACAAATTATCCCAAGTGGCGACTCTAATTTTGATCTAAATAATCCCGTTTCGATTGTCACATAAATTGGAAAATCTCCCTTTATCCCCCTTTCAGGTAAAAAGGAGGTGTGACAATAGCAACTCACATTAGCTGGAGTCCGTTTGAGAGGTTGTGTCATTGCTCGTTTCTTTGGTGAGCGAGTAAAAATCAAAGGGTCGTTGTTGGTGAGCGAGTGAAAACCAACTCCTGTTCGTTGTTGGTGAGCGAGTGAAAACCAACCCTGTCAACGTTGGTGGTGATCGCTGAAAACTACAAAGGCTATACTCAATTAAATTTACAAAGAGCTCTAAAAGACAACACTCTTGCAACCCAAGAGGACTGGATTAGGATACCACATTGGTTCCGAACCAGTATAAAAATTCCTGGTGTCATTTACTTTATCACTCTCATATTATATTTTGTTCCTTTACTGGTTATTATGATTAACACTTGTTTAAATCGAAATGACTAACAGTTCTGTGCAGGCTGTCTCCGCATAAATCGACTAGGTCTGAAAAGTAGTCAACTAGAAATTTAAAAAGGCTACAATTCACCCCTCCCCCCCCTCTTGTACTTTCACATGGATAATCACCTCTTGATGATTCTACTCAAACTTCACAGCCTAGTGCAGAGTTGAGGCCACCGCCCCGGCGGCATGTATCCAGGGTCTCCCCAACAATAGATTATAAGTAGCAGATATGCTAGCACTTGGAACTCAACATCAAATCAAGTCGGACCCATCTGTAGACTGAGGTTGATTTCTCCAATGGTGGCTCTCTAAGATCCATCAAACATCTTCACATTCACGCTTCCCATCCGTATCTCATGCAGGCCTTTGCCTAGTCTATTCAGAGTGGTCAATGGGCATATGTTGAGACTTGAACCTCCATCTATCAAGACCCTGGCGATGAACTTATCTTCAAATTACACCGTGATGTGTAGCGCCCTATTATGACTCAGTCCTTCTGGTGGTAACTCATCTTCATGAAACGTTTGATAGGTGTGTGTGCAAACACCAGGGTATTCATGATCCGGGTAGACTTTGGGCTACTATGATACTAGTTTGCTTTCGTGCCTCGTACATCCATGTTTTTTCTACTTGAATAATAATTTGAGCTATGATTCATGTTAGAAATCATGTCTAGGCTATGTGCTTAATTGTTGAGACATGATAGCGTTATTCTTGTTATATTGAGTTGCTTGCCTTGATTGTAGTCATATTCTCAGTCATAATTCTTCATCTGCATGCTATATCTCTGTCTCCGTACATTATTTGTATGTCATATCACACGCTGTTGATGCCTTCTATATGTGATGTAGTTTGGGCTGAGTTCTATGAGTTGTGAGCCATTGAGACTTGAGTTTTTGATAACTGGTGTGGGCCATAGAGCCATGTTGTGAGTTGTATTGGATTGATTAGCACGCTGCAACAGAGTGATATTTGGATCGGGTAGCATGCCGGAACGGTTATATGGATTATTGATTAGCTGTTGGGCCAGGATCCGCCCCTCCGGAGTCTAATAATATAGTTAAAGTAGGCACAGTGATATATATGTGCTTTGGTGAGGGGCATTTGTGCCAGGTATTGTGTGGGGAAATTGTGCAGGTAATGTGAGTGTGCTGAGAGTGAGTGTACTTGATGATTTCACTGTGATCTTATTGACTTGACATATATATTTGACATGCAAGCATAGATATGTCTTTTCCTCATGCTAGTTGGTAAATGAAATGTCTTTTCTGTATTGGGCTTTGGTTGTTATACTTGGAAAGCATGTCTAATTTTCCGTAATTGTGAACGAGCTGAACGTGATTTCCTTTGAGTTATTGTATTACTGTCTTCATTATAGTATGAGTTGTTATTGATTATTGGTGTTGGGCACTGACTTTCTTCTGAGCTCATTACTGCTTTAAGCCCGAAGTTAGGTTTGTTACTTATTGAGTACATAAGATCTATTGTACTCATAATATACTATGCACTTTATGTGTAGATCCAAGTACTTTTGGGCGTGGTGATTGCTAGAGTCGCATTGGTACCAGCTTGTGGGGACTACGAGGTAGCTGCTATGTCGTTCCAGACCTTGAAATTCTCTTTTGTTTATCTCTATTATCCATGTTCTATCATTCAGAAAGTTTGTATGTTGATATTGTTGTTATTTTCAGATATTTATGATTTTTCCATTTTTGAGGTTATTAAACTTCTGTTAAATGAGTTTATTGTTATTGTGAAATTGTTGGCTTGCCTAGCAAGCAGTGTTAGGTGTCATCACGGCCCGGTGGGAGTTTGAGTCGTGACATGTGCACATGCAGTGAAATAAGTGTGGCATTGTTGATGATGTTATGTGATGTTCGGGGGTATCTTTCTTGATGTTGTTTATGTGTTGACACGAGGTTGATATTTTGATTGCATACACGTTTCTTAAAAGTTTCCGTCTTGTATTTTCAATTAGTTATTAGTTGAATTTTACATGCTATCACATGCCCCACTTCTTTTGATGATTTGTTGACAAAGATGGATTTTTCTACACTGAGTTGTCATCCATGCCCTACGAGACGGTTGATATTGTTTTTCCCTTATATATTTTGTTGCCAGTTATTAATTGCATAGGTTATTGACTAGTGAGCATCACATGACTTAAACCTCGTCACTACTTTGCTGAGGTTAGTTTTAATACGTACTAGGTACTGAATGTGGTGTACTCATACTACAGTTCTGCATATTTTTGTGCAGATCCAAGTGTTGGAGGCAGTGGACCCAGGCATTGAGAGCTTCTTTGACCGCGTGGGTTCAAGGTAGAGCTACATTGACCGTCGCAATCCTTTGGAGGCCTATTCTTACTTTGATATTGTCATTTTTATATCTGAAAAATATTGTATTTTGAAATATTTTTATGTATTCAGTTAGAGCTCGATGCTCGTACTACCTAGTTCTGGAGAGGTGTTGGTGTATTGCCACTTTTGACTTGTATTGATTATATTTTCGCTTTTATATTAAAATTTGTTTTATTATATCATCTTTTGTTAATTAAAATATTGTTAAGTGTTCGATTTACCTAGTTTTAGAGATTAGGTGTCATCACGAGCCATGGGATTTTGATCGTGACATATAGCTAGAGCCACAACACTTCTACAGTTTCATCATACAAGGCAGTGAAGTACAACAATATACATATGTGGTGCCACAAGTTGTAAAATAAATATGAAAACAAAAATGATAGAATCTGCTTTTTGCTGCGTGAATTTAAGTATAACATTTTTGAAGGTCTTTAATAAGTAGAATTGAGTTTAAACTCTCCCAAATGGATCCCCAGCCTTATGCAACTCAAAACACAATACCACCCAAACCCCCAGACATTGATCAAGACATTCCCAAATATAACAACCCTATGATCAAACCATCCTTCAAAGATATGTTAACCATCTCTAATCCAATGCTCTTCACACCTACTGACAACCAACCCGACATGGAATTCCCAAAGTTTGGCTCAGAAGAACATATGGTTGATCACTCAATATTAGCACACACACGGGGAGTTAAATTCATCTCGCTCACAGAAGAAGAGAAGCAACGAATTTATAAGCCATGGAAATATTCTATCATTGTGAAACTAGTGGGGAAACGCATGTTACACCACTACTTAAAGAAAAAACTTGAAGAATTATGGAGGCCAATTGAAGATTTCCAATTGATTGATCTCGGAGAAGACTACTACATAATTAAATTCAAAAGAAAGGAGAATATGGATAAAGCTATACAACAAGGGCCTTGGTTCATCAATGGGCACTTTCTCTCCATTACAAGATGGAAACCAAATTTTGTAGACACAAAAGAGAAAGTAACTAATTCGGCAGTATGGGTTAGACTCCCTCAATTACCTACAGAATTTTACGAGGGGAAAATTCTGGAAAAAGTTGGAAATGCAATTGGCCGTCTACTCAAAATCGACGCTTGTACATCAACCACCTTGAGGGCCGCTATGCAAGACTGTGTGTGGAGCTTCCGTAGGAAATCCCAGTCCAACCCTTTCTTTATGTTGGCCACCACAAACAAGTCATCCATTATGAAGGAGAAAACTTTCTTTGTAAAAATTACGGACGACTGGGACACATAGAAAGACAATGTATTTTATATTTCACATAATACCGAAGACAATGTGAAACTAAACATGGAGCAATCAACAACAACAAAGGCAGAGAAAAATCAAGAAGAATGGAAAACAGTGTCTTTTACTAAAGGAAGGCAACAAGGTGCAAGAGGTAATCAAAAACACAACAATACAAATCCGATCAAAAACGCCAATGGCCCAGGTATCTCTGTCAAATTGTTCAATGCCAACACTGGTAAGTACTTAGATACACAAATATTACAATATAAATCCAAGGATCATAAGAATCCTACTTCTTCGTTAGATAAGAATGAAACAAATTACGGCCACCATGGTTGAAGAACAAACCACTTTTCCAACAAAAAATAATTTTTCCCTTCTGAGAAAAGAGCAAATGGTTTTGGAAGAAACCACTAAGGGAGATAAAATTCAAAATGAAAATACCAATAGTTGCCATGCAATTGAACAAATGTCCTCATCTAACAAAGACATTGACATGTTGGAAATAAACGTGTCTTCCACTAATAACACTACTAATCAAATTAAAAAATTTGCCATGCAAAATAATCATTTAAGTGACAAAACTACCCCCCCCCTAATAAACGTAATAAAAGGGATAAAAATAGCCTTACTAACCGGCAAAATGGTAATAAACCTTCGATAACCAAAAATCTCAACCAAAATCTTTCCTTAAGATTTGGTAATCCCTCCACCCCTAAGCATGCCATCCAAATGGCAAATGAAAAAGATAATAATGGACAAATATCCTCCAACCTTGAGCACGCAATGGATACTACATCCATGGAGAATCAGCCTATAAAACCAAACATTAGGGACTCAAACGCCATGCAAAAGGAAACCCCAATCATTACCCTATCAACCAATCCCTCCCATACCACCAATAGCCTCTCTCCCACGCCTAACTTAGACCCTTTAAGTACCCAAACCTCTATCCATTATGCCCAGAATACCTTCATCCTTAAGGAGGAGACACAGACTTCTTCAAATTCTACGCCAACACAGAATCCAATCCATGGAAAACCTTCCACCTCTACCCCCTCAACCAGAGAACCCACAGATGATTTACGTTCAACCACCACAAGCACATGACTACCAACCTGTGTCATGGATGGAGATGGGCCTGATGGGTCATGCATGCTCGTTCAATGTCCAAATAAATGGTTAGGACTCGATCATCATTCTTCACGACAGTCAGTACCTAACCCAACTGGTTATGGAAGGCATGAGGTTGGCCATGAACAACTACCTCAACCAGGTTTGGCTCAACAATATCCTTCAACCCCTAGCACTCTCAATGAACCCTCAGCTAGTGCATGCAATGAGAAACCAATGGAACTTACCACCACACTTCAACCCAATCTACCTATAGAATGCTCTCCTGGACATGCCTTTCTTCATGCCAGAGATATTAACCCAACTCAATCCCATATTCCTGCCATGGGAACAACCTCAGCCAGCCCAGGAGCCACCAGTTCCACCACCTCATCAACGACCTCCATCCCCACCCTACCACCAAGTCCAGGAACCAGTACCAGTAGAAGCAGAAATGGAGGAGGAAGAGGAACCCCTCAATCTACTCTTAGAAAGAGTCCTAGAAATCTCAAGTCTCGAAGGAGTAAAAGTGTTTATCTTCACGGAGAGGCAAGAGAAGAGGCACGTGCTCAGTTGCCCACTAGCATTATACAAATGCTCGATGGACATAAGACCACCTCAGGATCCAACAGTGGGCAACAGAGCCATGACCCTAGTTTCATCAATGAGAAGGAACCCAGTCCTAGGGGTAGTGAGGGAGAATGGGGATCCGGCAAACTTGAATCTTAATATCTCAATGAATCGACCTACAAACTTCATTATTTGGAACATAAGGGGAGGGAATAATGATAATTTCAGGAGGAACTTCAGGGAAATGGTAGATACCCACAAGCCTTGTATGGTGGCACTGTTAGAGACTAGAATGGGAAACCACAAGGAGTTGCTTAATGATTTTGGGTTCACAGAGCTGATAGAGGTGCCAGTGGAAGGCCAAGCAGGAGGTGTAGTGGTGATATATAACCATGAAATTGTGACTGTTCAAAACTTTGTCCGAAGGGATCAAGAAATTCATGCTACGATTGAGGTAACTCCTATACGTAAATATTGGCTTTTTAGTGCTATTTATGCAAGTACAAATATGCTTAGTAGAAATATGATGTGGGAAAATCTTGAAAGCATTAGTAAGAATTATAATGGACCATGATTGTTAGGGTGAGATTTTAATGATGTTTTGGGTACTAATGAAAAATTTGGTGGCAGGTCTATAAATGACAATAAAGCAAATTTTCTAGGGTCAAAAATTAACAATTGCAACTTAATTGACCTAGGTTTTAAAGGTTGTAAATATACTTGGTCCAACCACAGACATAAAAATAAAGGTTTCATTATGGAAAGACTTGATAAAGTATTAGAAAATGAGGAGTGGATTAATCTTTTCCCAAAAAGTTCGATTATCCACCTTCCTAAGACCTATTCGGATCATAACCCTATCCTAGTAGAATTGATCCCTAAAAATAATTATTTTCACAAGCAACCCTTTAGACTTGAAACTTTCTGGTGCAAACATCCAGAATTCCAACCCTTAGTTCAAAACAATTGGGCTAATACTGATTACTTTAGGGCTAGCCAAAATTTCATAGAAAAAGTTAAGGTTTGGAGACAAAAAACCTTTGGTGATATAATGGGTAAAAAAAAGAAAGCTTAGCCTGCCTTCAAGGAATTCAAAATTCCAAACATTATCCATATAGTATCTTCCTCCAAACCCTAGAAGCTAATTTAAAAAGAGAATACAATGACTTGCTCAAAATCGAAGAAGATTATTGGAAGCTAAGATCTAGGGTTATGTGGCTTAATGAGGGAGATGCCAACACAAAGTTCTTCCACATCTCAGCCTCTAATAGGAAAAGAAGAAATAAAATTAACTTCTTTAAAGATGATGAAGGAAATTGGATCAATGAACCTCATCTAGTTATTTCTCATGTGCTTAACTATTTTACCAATACTTTCATCACCTCTCAATCCAAGGCAAGTTGGGATAGTCCTCTAAAAAATAACTCTACTCGTAATCTATTAAACCTAAGTTCTCTTGATAACCCTTTTCTTGATATTGAAATCAAAAGGACTATTTTCTCTTTTAAACCTTTCAAAGCGCCGGGTCCGGATGGCCTCCACCCTTTTTTTTCCAAAAAACTGGAAAATTATAGGACCCTCAGTTACAAACTTGTGTCATAACATTTTTAAAAATCAGGAGATCCCCAAAGACCTTAACAGAACCTACCTTTGCTTAATACCAAAAATCCTCAATGCCAATAACATTAAAAATTTTAGACCAATTGGCCTTTGCAATACTATTTACAAATTAATCACTAAAATCCTAGCAAATCGTCTCAAACCTTTCCTTGAACAGCTTATTAGCCCTTTTCAAGCTAGTTTCATAAAAAATAGAAGGGCCTCTGATAATGCTATTATCATTCAGGAACTAGTTTCCAAATTACATAAATTAAAAGGAAAGCAAAGCCACATGCTCCTTAAAATTGACCTAGAAAAAGCATTTGACCGGTTAGAATGGTCATTTGTCCATCACACATTAACATACTTCAACTTCCCTCAAAAATTTAAAAAGCTTCTTTTAAATTGCATATCAACTAGTTCTATAGTTGTTCTAGTTAATGGTTCCATTACTACGTTTTTTGAACCAAGTCGGGAAATCAGGCAAGGGGATCCTATATCCCCCTATATCTTATTCTCTGTCTAGAAATGCTATTAAGATACATAAACCATCAAGTTGATATTAAAAATTGGGATCCAATAACCATAGAGAAAAAAATTCCAAATTTTTCCATTTATTTTTTGCGGATGATATTACCCTTATGGCCAAAGTCAATATGAAATCATGTCATGCAATCCAGAAAGGATTAGATCTTTTTTGTAATCTATCAGGGCAATGTATTAACACTTCTAAATCCAAAATTGTCTTTTCTAACAATTGTCCCCAAGCTCTCATTAAGGAGGTTACCCAATAGTTTGGGTATTAAAAAAAGGTGACTCCTTTGGCACATATCTAGATTTCCTATATTAAACAAACATCATAGGGCAAAGGACTACCAATTCATAATTGACCAAATGAGAGCCAAACTAACGGCTTGGAAAATGAAATTCATCAATATAGCTGGACGGACAACCCTTTCCCTCTCTTGTCTAAACTCAATCCCAAACCATTATATGCAATACACCTTACTCCCTACAAAAATTCTTAACAAAATTGACAAAGTACAAAGGGACTTCATATGGGGAACTACCAAGGAGAGGAAAAGAATTCATCTCATCAAATGGTCTACCATTTGTCAACCTAAAAGCAAGGAAAGCCTTGGACTCCACAGTGCAAAGGACAAGAATCTATGCACTCTTGCTAGCCTAGTATGGAGAATCCTTACTAACGCTACTACTCCATAGGAAAACCTAATCATTAGTAATTATGCTAATAATTATGTCATAAGCAAAAGTTCTTTCATTTGGAAAAGCATTCAAAAGGGTGGGATTTATGTTCCAAAGGTATTATTTGGTTACCCAACCATCAATCAAACATGAACATTTGGGAAACCTATTGGATTCCAAATTTAGGAAGTCTTAGGAAAATAATAGAAGACCCCTTATTAAAAACGGATTACTCACTAAAATTAAATGATATCTTTGATGGTAAGAAGTGGAATTTTAGCAATATATCCTTCAACTTTTCCAATGAAATCAAGGATAACATCTCCAAGGTTAAAATCCGTCTCAAAGGACCAAATTGTGACATTCCAATATTGTCTCTCACTACAAAAGGCTTCTTTACAAGCAAAAGTTGCTACACTATCATGGAATCAAATACAGACAGGCAAATTGATTTTAAATGGATTTGGGATCTAACATGCCCAAATAAAATTAAGTTCTTTCTATGGCAATGCCTTCATAACAAGATTCCCTGTAGGAAATATCTAGCTAAAATCGGTTTAAATATTGACCCAAATTGCACTATATGTAAATGCCATATAGAAGAATCTATAATGCACATTTTCTTTACCTGCCAAGCCATTAAACATTTTTGGGACAACATTGGATGGCAAAACTTCTATAAAGAGCATGGTGCTCATTGGCTAATCCAGCTAAAAAATTTTGACTACCCGATGAAAAACAGGTTTATAAATTGGAATCTCCTTTTCCCATTTGCTATCTGGCACATTTGGTTAAATAGGAATAACAACAACCAAAACAATACAGAAAACCCTATTAATATAAACCATAACATTACTAGGGCTATTGAATTCCGTCTCCTAACCGAAAATAGTATTCTGACTTCTCCAAAAATCCCCATCAATATTAAATGGCATAGACCCCCAAAGGGATGGTTCAAACTAAACATAGATGCAAGTTTCAACAAAAACTTGCAAAAATGTGGACTGGGTGGTGTAATCAGAAATGCCAATGGGCATTGGATAGTTGGATTTGCAAAACCAGCTCATGCACGTGGTTCACTACATGCTGAAATCAAAGCATTGCTAGCAGGACGTAAAACAACTCATACTTGGGGAATGTTCCCTCTCCGAATCGAAATAGACTCGACGGAGGTAATCCTGTCAATCTGTCACGACCCATTTTCTACAATAGGTCATGATGGCGCCCGACACCTTTATCAAGCCAGCCAACGCGGAAAATACAATTAAGTTCTCATTTTACTTTTACTCAAAAATAAATACAACAGATTCTCAAATTAAAGTTAAGACCAGAAGCAATCAATAATGTATCAAAATGATTATTAAAGTCATAAAATTATACAACCCTAAAAAGAATGATACCGTCTACTAATGTGTGTGCCAAGACCCGGTATCACAAGTAATGGGCAACTAGTAGAATGTACAAAATAATAAACTATCCTACTGTCCGAGATAGAATAGACAGCAAAAGTAGGAAAAAGACTCCATCAAGCTGCCGAACGCCACAGCAAAGGAGCAGCTCACCGTGGAAGTCTCGGACTATGAATCAGGGGCGCGCACCAAACTGATAGTCAGATGTACCTGCCTCAGACCCTGTACAATTAAGTACAGAAGCATAGTATGAGTACATAAATAATATGTACCCAGTAAGTATCCCGTCTAATCTCGAAGAAGTAGAGATGAGAGGTCGACTTGACACTTACTAGGGTCAAATAATATAATAAGGTGTTCTGCTAGGCATGATAATCACAATTAATCAACAGTATGCAACAAGAGATAATAAGTCATGTCCCTAGTAATTTGCAGTTAACCGTACACATTTCAATATTTAACAGAATAAGCCATGGGTAAGATTTCACACATATATATGTCATGCGCACGTTATGCCGAGGTCGACGGCCCGATCCAACAGAAAAATAACTGTGCACTGCCAGAGGGTCGAATGGCGCGAACCATAGATGCATCTATCTCTACCGAAGCGATCGGCCCGATCCACAAATATCAATTTAATTCAAGGAAGCACATGAATGCGCATTTATTTCCAAAATAATTCATACAAGTGTCTAATGAAGGTATACATTCGCTTATCTCTTTTTCAAGTCTCTAGCATATCTTAAGTGATCACATTAGCAAGAAAATATGGAAACAATTACAATATAGCATGATACGGGCCCTAAACTACCCGGACAATTAACATAATAGTAGCTACGCACGGACTCTCATCACCTAGTACGTACGTAGCCCCCGCATTTAATAACAAATTACTCAATTATTATACCTATGGGGACAATTCCCTCTTACAAGGTTAGAAAGGAG